GCTTCCGAAACCTCCTTCGGGAAGGTTCGAGCTTCCGTAACGCCCCTGTTCCAAGTATAACGGGTACGCTCCCAGTGTTATCCAGTCTTACTCTTTGGGTAGTGCCATAGCAGCAGAAGCTGGTCCTCTTAGCAGAAGCCCTGGCCTACGCCAAAAAATAGGGGCGCAGGTGGCTTCCACAGGACACTGGAAGGGGCAGTAGCTGTGGCCCTTTGGTAGGATCCCAATTTCGTCGGTCCTCCGACGTGACGTCGAGAGTGACCGACTGAAAGGGAACGTCTCGGTTACGTATGTAACCCTCATTCCCTGAAGGAGGGAACGGAGACGTCACGTCCCGTCGCCACAGCTCCTGTACCACCGCTGAGCGGCCGGGTCACCGGCTCGGCTCCTCAGCGAAAACCTGAATATGCGCTGCACCTGCTGCCTACTTATACTCACGCTGTGATCAGCAGCAGCTGGATGCAATAATTGCATGCCAATGTGCATTGGCTCGTTTAGTTTACACTCGAAGTAGATTGGTCCCTCTAAGCGAGATCCCAATTTCGTCGGTCCTCCGACGTGACGTCTCCATTCCCTCCTTCAGGGAACGAGGGTTACATACGTAACCGAGACGTTCTCATTTCTGCCAGGAATGCAAAATCAATCGGGATTTAATGATATTTTGATCAGAATAACTAGAGACTGTACATATTCAGTCGTGTTTGTCTCCATTGATTTTTGATCAGTGCTTCGCTACACAACATGCACATTTTTACTCCAAAAGTGCGCACATTATGTATTCACAAGTTTATCTTATATTTCTTTAAATAGAATAGACCCATAATTTCTTAATGACTCACAGAAAGACGATTCTCTGATGATCCATCAGCCAACATTGCATGATACAAATCGCACCCTGCTTGTGCCCATCTCATCTCCAGAACAAAATATTACTGTATTATTATTTTATTTTATTTTATCTTAATTTTTTTTGTTAATTCTAAATTTAGATTATGCTTTGTAATTGCAGTATTATGTCACCTCAACATTTTTTTTTTCATTTAATCAAATTATTAAATTAAATACAAATGCTTATTTCAAGCTATAAGTGTAGGGTTACATTTGATACAATTACCACACACATGGATTTTATGAGGGGACTTTTTTGTTGAAATGGGTCGTGATGTCTGTTTCAATTGAGCAAGAAGTACTTTTATTGTGTAAATGAACTTGCTGATATAAGGCAGAGAGTGGCCATTTTGTGGTGAGTACCTCAGGGATGTGGCACGCTTTATATGTTTTTCAGTGAATTATACTGTTATTTACTCCTTCTAGGATAACGTATGGATTACTTTTTGTGCATTTGTAGAACCCAGTAGTCCAGAGTAGTAGATGTGAGTGAGACTGTTTATTTATTTTTTTATTTTTTTTTGTTTGTTGTTGTTCTGCCATTTTGTGTGTAGCTATGGATTATTGGGATTTATCCAATACCTCTTCACTTGCCTTATGGACTGAATTGTTCTTTATTGTGTATCTAATAAATGCTGATGTGGAAAAGTTTCTTTTTTTCTTTTCCTTTTTTCCTTTTGCTGCTGAAAGGTGTCAAGTACAAATAAGTATTACGCCTGCCAGATCCCAGTAACGGTAAAACTTGCATCTGTTGAAACTCTTACAACCTAGTACTCAGAACCAATTGTAAAGATTGGAAATTGTTTCATGCAAATTTTGTTTGACACAGATTATTGTGGGTGCCTGATTTTAATAATTCCCTCTGTATGTTTGCATATTGTAGTAAATTTCAGGCTGCCACGAGCAGAAATAATCTATTACTGCATGCAAACACAAATGACATAAAAAATTAAGACTGAAATAGAGTGCAATTAATAGAAGAAAGCAGATGAACATAAATAAGATCGTTCCTTACCTCATTCACAAACACCCAGTGACTGTCTTTAGAGGCCAGGTTAGTCTCCACAGCCTATAGAGACACAAATATAGAATACATCAATGTGAGCTGTTTGTGGCAGGAGTAAATGAGCTACCTGACATTAAACAGATGGCTTGAAGAAAGATGAGAGAAAAAGCATCTATATCTGCTGGATGGACAAAATAAACAATACTAGACCTAGTAATGTTTATCTTTAGGTTGGTCACTGTGCAAAAAAAAAAAAAAATAGGCTAAACTTTTCAGTCAATCAGTGCAATTAGTGTTCAAAAAGTAAAGCCAAAGCAAACATCGATAGCACTCAACACCATAATATGCTGTGTGTGAAAAACTTTATTAATACTCTCTTAATATGTAACATTGGACAAGCTGATATAAAAAGGAACAAAATGAGCATTACAAAGGAAACTACAAAGAAATGTACAGGGAGGGAAGCATTTATTTATTTATTAGTATTATTAGTATTATTTGAACAAGAGAAGGAGCTAAACTGGTAATATTTTCACAGAACACAGAAAATAAAGAAAAGACCCCTAAAATTCCCAAAAGTTGTTTTTTCTTCTTCTTAATAACCTAAATAGAACTGATTAATTAACTGATTAATATTCATTTATTTGAGATTAATTAAACTTTTAATGCTTTAATCTTTAATTAATCATAACCATAAACTACATAACTGCATAACTTAATTTAGTGCGGTACAATATTTGTATTGTACTCATCAGATACATCTAACTTTAGATAAATGCTGTAGTCAGACATTTTGTGTAAGGGGGTTAGGAGGACAAACTATTATTAAACTATTTGAAGACTATCACTATAGCACTGCCTTGCAATGACTGTAATTATCCAATTAAAATTTTGTGCTACTTTTTGTCTTGTAGAGCATATGAATATACATTAATGTTTTGACTGTGTTTATGTAAAGCATTGTGCTTTCTCTCAATACAGGCTGTTGTGTTGCTTCAATCTGACTTTAAAATGCAGACAGCTGTCTTGTCTTTATCACATTCTTTCTTTGTGTATTTAGCATGTATGACAGCACAGAATATATTACTTTCAATTAAAGTCACCATGGAACAGGCAGCCTGTCAAATATCATCTTCAGCTAAGAAACAAAGTGACAGCAAGGTAGAGAGTGTTTATCAACAAAGTACGTTCATTGTCTTTAGCATGGCTTAGCGCTGTCTGAAAGCATAATGAACTTAAGGAAAAATTAATGGGATCAGGCAAAATATGCAAAACCATGTACACTTAAAGTGCAACGTGTGCAACATGACAATATAAATAGCAAAATGAAATGTGAGCTGCACAATAAGGAAAATATACAAAAACTTGATACATGATGATCTGGGATTACCCAGGCTTGAAAGTGATTATAAAATATTATTCAAATTAAAGAGTATACATCTTGCATCATAATTCAATTCAAGGAAGTGCATTAACAATTTGGAAGTTTAAATTATAAAAGGTAAATAATAGGTAATTTGCATACGGTCATGAGAAAGTTTTAAATACATGTTATTTAAGTAGGTAAGTAGGTAGAAACGGGGAAAAAAACAAAGATTGAAAATATTGCTGTTGTGCATTGGACTTTTGGTAAATGTCTATCAGCCTGAGCAACTTAATTAATTTGTTGTAGGTCATTAAACTGTTATGTAGCCTTAGAAGCCTGTCCAAATTTAGTTTCAGGAGGTACCTTCGGACGCAAACACTGCCTGAGAAGTAGTTGGCTTATGTTTTTGTTTGTTTGTGCAAGTTGCTATCATTAATTAACATTTTAGTGTGTCGCGAGGTGTGTTTAGCATATTCCTAGTCATTGTTAACAAGCTGCAGGTATGATTTCACATGCTCAGGGGTATTGTTAGCACGTTGTTAGAATGCGTCAGCATGTTGCATGGGCACTGTTAATTACTAATGTTTAACAGGCATTGTTACCACATTGCTGACATGCTTTACCATGTTCAGAGTCATTGTTACCATGTTGTTAACATTTTTGCATGTTGCTAGGCATAGCTATAATGCTGCAAACACGTGTGGATGTTGCTGCCAGCTCAGCTGCCTACGTTTTCTGACGCAGTTTGCTAGAATTTGTGTGTATGTTGTAGTTGTTTTAGCATGTTCTTAATATATTAAACATGCTTAACCTTTAAATGCATACCTCGGGTCTTTAGCGACCCGGGACATCATTCTCTACCCTTTCCCTCCTTCATTTTTTTAAGTTAGACATCAACTTTCTTAGTATTCCTCAATCTATTAATTATAAACAATATAATAAGAAAAAATAGTAAAATATAAAAGAATGGCAGTTTTCTGATAATTTTTTTGTAAAAAGTGTGTAGGATCGCTAGAGACCTGAGGTATGTACATGTGTATGCATTTTTTCCTGCGCAACTATATTTACGTATCTGATGACTCAATATGTGCAATGCATCTTTTTTCACTGTTTGATACACAATGATGACGTGACGTTTCACTGATAATTACGGCAGGCATAAAACAAATGAATATCATCAGCAAAAAGTGCGCTCTGACAATGACAGCGATGGTAAAATCATCTGCTCAAATTGAACCCTTTTAAGTTTCAAAAGGTAACAACATATGCTTTATTTTTTTCTTCTGTAATTGTTCTTAAAATATCAAGAGAGTTTTTTTGCTATTGCAGCAGTTAGAGATCCATCCGTGCTGGATATAGAGGTCCGGGTCGCTAAAGACCCGAACATGTAAGAATGATTGGCGCAACATTCATCCATTTAAGGGTTAAAGACATCTGCAGGATCTGAAGTCAAATACTTCCCTACTATACAGTATGCAAAAAAACAGTATGCCAAAAGATTAGCATGTCTAAATTCACAGTATTCGGAAGACCTACTACTTCCACCCACATTCTGAAATGTGCATGCGATGGACACTTTACTTTCCCATGAGGCCACAGGAGAGGATTTATGAACGGCACTGAAGTGAGCAACTTATGCTGGTAGGTCACGTGACAGTAACAACATGGCTAATGTAGTAGCCTACGTCCAAATTGCATTCACACTACCTATATTCATATACAACATACTATTTTTAACGGTCGTGAAGTAAGTTCGAATTTAAATGTAGTATGTGATTTTGGGCGCTCTGAGTGTAACATATTTTAACATGCTGCTAGGTAGTTTTAGAACATTGTTTGCATTTTGTTAACATTTTTGTGTACTGCTAGGTGTTGTACACAGTATGTACACCAATTAAGTATAATTTAAAATAATACATTTATAAAATGTTTAGATTTAGTGTGCGTATCTGTCCAATAAGATATTTTTACACTGCCATGAAGTCTGCATCAGTACAGTATCAGTTGGATCTCCAACTAATTTATGTGAGAAAATAAAAGTAATACTTTTAAAATGTGATAAGTACAGTAAGGATTATAATTTAGAATGTAAAAAAAAAAATGATACTCTTGTAATTCATATGCCATGCAAAAATTTTATTTTATACAAAATGTAACAGCCACCTTGGTTTTATATCCTGGTTATAGGTCTTGGTTCTTGGCCTCATGGCATTAAACACATTGAATACACCTGAGCAAAGCTAAACTGGGGGGGGGAGGGGGGAGTATATTCACTATATGATTCCCCTTAACTAGGATATTCCTAATTTGTATAACTTTTATAATCAGATGATTATACTATATTATACAAACTGGTACTCACTGGCAGTAAATCTTATTTGCAAAAACATTTGTATTATTTTCATGTGTCATCTTAATGTACACAAATCCACAATGATGAGCATTATGTCTCAGTTATAACCTAAGGTCTTGTTTAAAGACTAGAGAAAAATTGATCTTTTGGCCACTTGTTTAAAGACTAGAGAAAAATTGATCTTTTGGCCACCACTATTCTCTCCATGTCCTTCAATTTCTGTTCATTACATGCTGACATAATGAGCCTGACCTTCTGCTCAAATGTCAAGCAAATATTAAAAATGCATTTGACAGTGGAATATGGAGGAGGACTTTCATGTTTTAGACTAATTAAAGAAGAAGAAAACCAAAAAAACTTGGAATATTAATCTCATGTAAAACAAGCCCTCTGATCCTTTGTGAGTCACAATGTGACAATAGACAGGACATACAACTTGTGCAGACATTTGGAATTATTAATTAAACTTTGCCTATTTGAACAACCCAACATCACATTTAGTTTAATATTTTAATTTAATTTGCTTTACCAGTGTATGAGAACAATATTTGAGAAAAATCGACTTTAGGTTTTATTTCGCATTTTGGTCATTTTAAGCTGATTTAACACTTGAGCAGTTGAGCAGATTTATCTATTTCAAATAATAAAAAAGGCATCTTTTATTGTGATGCATTTCTGTTGACAACATACAAGCTAAATACTTCACTGATGGTTCCAATGTTTCTGAAAAGGCCACTGGAAGATTGTTGCAACATCAATAAAACAAAACAACTTTTTTTCCCTTTCTCTTTCTCTACAAGGGCATATGAATGCATTAAAACAAAATGAACTGTTTTGAAAGGAACTACTTTAACTACAAACAAAGACAGTATTCATACAGGTTTCAGTACTCGATGACACACACAGACAGCTTCTATCTTATTTGTGGACTTGCAGTACACAAACTGTAATACAAGCTTGTATCTTGAAATATTTCCCCCTTTTTTAATAGTCATGAACCAAATCAACCATCTCCAAATTCACATTGAAAACTTTTATATTAAGTTTGTCAGTATTTCAACATTTATTGTATTATACTATACTAAACAATACTATTTAGTTATTTATCGTTCTATACTATACTATACTATACTATACTATACTATATTTATTGTATTATAGTACATTAATTATAGTCAATAATATAATTAAGTGTAAGATTTTATATATATATATATATATATTAGTGAAACTTTCAAAGTGAAATGTCCAGTGAGCAGTGCATTTAGTTTTATGATTCATTACATTAGCTGTTGTATGTATCGTGGCAATTCGGAAATGCAATGCTGTAACCTGTTTTAAAAT